CACACACACACACGCACGCACACGTGTGCGCGCGCGCGCGAAAGGAGAAAAAAATTCGAATATCCGTCTCTTCGCGACCGATGCGCTCTCCGGCCAACTTTAAACCAACCTCGTTGCCACGCGATATTACTGAGTACGCGCGCGATTATCGAACTGCCGGAACATGGCAAACTCGATTCCGAAAAGTTCCGCGCACGGACCTTACCGGGTCATTCGTTAAGCGGCGCCTACAATATGATTTTAAAGATGTCAAAACTGGAGCTTCAAGCTTTAAGGCTAATAAAAAAATTGACCAATCGCACAGTCGATCGTCCTCCATACATTCGACTGTGATTGGTCAATTTCTTGATATAATTTAAGATCGAAAGCGTTTAAGTTTTACGCCTTAAAATCTCATTGTAGACGCCACTTTAATAATGACGAAAATTTTACGTCATTTTCCCCGAGTTAACTTTCTCTGACAAATTAAGTTTGTCCTCTTACCTTATCTCTGATAGAAAATTATTGAGGCGCATTCACGAGACGACGCATTTTTGAAAAAGAGGAAGTCGTGTTATTCTTGCGTTATATGTCTGTATGTGAATAGTAATGGAATTGTTATCAGTGCTGTATTTTATATATGTATATATATATAGTATATCTCACTACACAGAAGATATTCATGTCGTAAACGGATCTGTCAAGAGACAACTATTTTATTTTTACTTTGACAGCTAATCGCGTTTATTTTTACTTCTATTTTGTAACTAGGTCATGATACGTAACAGTAACGTTCGTTATGCCAAAAAAATTGTGCTACAACTTATCTCCGGCTTGATAATGTTTTAACTTAGTGTAGGTTGCGTTTAGCAAAAAAAAAAAAAAAAAAAACTAAAATTCTTCAACGCGATTAGCTTATACATTTAGATCCAGGAAGGAAGTAAGGGTAAAGTACCGATCGTGATAAAAAGAATTGTACAATAGTTGCAAAGCTGCTTCTTCCGCTGAACGCAGCCATTTAACAACGTGATAACGTTCATATGGATTTTCTAATCTCACATAGTAGACTGTACCGGAATCGTTTTTCATAAACATTGGCCTACTCGCGCCGCGCTCATGTGATCCGCACGAGTCTCGCGCAAACCAGTGCCGTGAAGTTGTCTCCAACCGCGCTTACCGCACCTTCCTCCCCCTCTTTTTTTTTTTCTTCTTTTCCTCATTCTCCGAAGGCGACGCGACGCTTGTTTTACTCGGAGCGCGCGACTGGAGAAAAGGAGACGGATGACCCACGCTCGAGCGTGGGGCTGACCCTCGCGGACGTGAGCGAGCATCGCGGCGCGAGGAAGCGGGTTTCCGTGCGTCCGCGCCGGCTGTGTCTTTTCACGCGAAAAACACATCGTTGCCGCGCCGTGCTGTGCGCGCCGCGCAGCGCGGGGGCTACGCCCTAAATTCAAGCCGCTCTCGGCAACGTTCGCGCCGCTTTAGCGACGACGACGCGGCGTTAGAGCC